TTAATAAGTAAATTAATGCTTTAATTTCTTTATAGTTTATTATTTGTCAGCTCTTAGGATACATCATTTCAGTTAAAAACATATTTATAAAAAAATGTTTTTTGCGGATTTAAAAAAAAATACAGTAAATACATGTAAATCTTTCTTAATCCTTTGTATGCATCGTTGTTCCTTCAAATTACAGCGAATATATGCAAAATAATGACTTACCAGTTGATTTAAATGGAATAAAAACTGTGTAATTTTATGATTAAATATTGTAAAAGAACAAATTACTATTTACGAACGTAAAGATTTTTTTTAAAGTGCATGTTATTTATAGTTTTGGCCTGTTTTTTTTAAAAGTTAACATGCCATGTAATACATTTTCTTGTGATTTTATTAAATATTATCTCTAATTTGAAAACATAAAACTAGGAAAATTAAAGTCAATATAAAAACCATTATAAATGAGATAATATCTGTAATTTGAAAAATAAAACAGGGAAAATATGTAAATTAATTCAAAAATTTTTTTGTGCATTTTTCAATCGATAATATAAATATTTCTTTCAAATAACAGCAAATATCTGTAAAAATATTATATATTATCTGTAAATTAACAAAACAGGGAAAGTCTTTTAATAATATGCAGGTGAAAGCTGTTGAAAAGTGTTTCGTACACAGAGAACCCTGAACTCGTGTTTCAGTGGGATTCATCACTAGTGATTAAAACACAGTGACGACGGCTTCGTTATTCCTCTGAGGACAGAACAGCAGCCGTGAGTCACCGTGGACGTGAGAGCTCATGTTCTCAGTGTTGGTTCTCCCATCATGTGACTACTCACAGCGTCCAGAGGAAGCTTCTTCAGAACCTTGTACTGCTTCTTGGGCTCCAGCTTGTAGACGTACTTGTCTGTGACGAGCAGGCCTCGGTCTGTGCTCTTGTTGAATCTGTTCACCTGAGGGAGCACAAAGACCACGATGAGGGTTTGTTCTCCACCTTCTGGTTCAGAGGCTTTCAGTGCCACGTGTAGGATCAGTTCAAAAACAAGCTGCACAGAAGTAAGACAGGAAGTGAGAGCGTGTGGAGGGTTTATCAGAGCTGAAGGCTGATTTTATTCACGACATCCCAGAGTGCTGATGAGAACATTCACCCACCGTCTCTTTGTTTTAGTGATTCTCAAAACTGGATGGTAGCTGTTTGGTTTTATGACAAGAATTTACCAAAAAAAAGACTCTTTGGTGTCAAAGTGAGAAAACATTTCAACAGAATGATTAAAAATATGAAACCTAAAAACCTAAAGTGACTATAAAAGCATTCTCCTCCCTCCGGTCAGTGTTTAGTGGATGTTTACGTCTGGCTGCAGGTCCATCGTTGATCAATCAGCCTGAACATCTGGATGCTGCAGTTTTACCACATTTTAGTTTGTAGAACTGATCAAACTTTGTCAGGTGATAAAGGGATTCTGAGGAAAAAGCTTGTTTTGTAAGTCTAGGATTTCTCGTCACTGCTGCATTTATTTTACCCTCTACCTTTACGAGCCTTCCAGGACCTGCTGCTGAGAAATAGCCCCACATCATGATGCTGCCACCACCATGCTTCACGTCACGATGCTGCCACCACCGTGCTTCACGTCACGATGCTGCCACCACCGTGCTTCACAGTGAGGACGGTGTGTTTGTGATGATGTGCAGACCCATTTGTGAATACTTCTATTTTTGATTAATTACCATCACTTTGAAGAAATATGTTGTACTTTTTGTGAATTCTTGTCCTAAAGGTCAAATTAAACTGTCGAATATTTAATGTTGAAAAGCAGTAAAAGAGGAAAACTTCCAGTAGTAAAGCTGTACTTATAATTTAGCTTCTCTTAAATCCCTGCTATCTAAAGTGTGACCGT